TTATGACCCGTAGCACCCCTATGACCCTTATGACCCGTAGCACTCCTACGACCCTTATGACCCTTATAGTCCTATATTTATTATATAAAGAGCACCCCACCCTATATGGGCAACCCCCCCCATGGGCACCCATGTAAGGGAGGGTCTCCACACCGTCTAGACCCTTGAGACCCTTGAGACTCTTGAGACCCTCCAGGGATGGGAGCGTCCCCTGAATTTTGAGGCTGAAAGACTTTTTTATTATATAGAGAGATGAATGGTGCAATTTTTTATTTTAAAAATTACGAAATTAGCTTTGTAGGAGTTGAATTAAAAAAAACTAATTCCTAATTGTTATTGCACACATTTTTTCATTTTTTTCCATTTAAATGAAATTACCCATGACGCGGCGTTGCCGGAAACTTGCTAAATGCGCCCGGGCAGTGTAGAATGAATTCGGCAACGCTAAAGGTTACATAACATGGCGGCGAATCCCCGCGGAGGTGACCAACGTCGCAGGGACGCGTTGGGTGACCACACTAGGGGTAAATGGTCTTTATGAAAAAAGTTCTTCGTCGATAATAGAAGACCCATTGAAATTGATCAAATTTTTGTATTGGAAATCATCCATTTCAATAGTACAGTACTTCCTTGGTTACTTTGGTGCCATTCGCTGTATAGTTCAATTGGAAGATCGGTAATCATGAGTTCAAATCCTATTACAGCATGTATGATACATACAATACATACCTGAAAGAATGGGCCATGATAGCTCGCACAAGAGGGGGAGGATACATTTATAAATAATTAACTTAGATTTCAATTGTGGCCTCTATCCATTCAAACTCAAAGAAAAGCTTCCATTCAAAATCTATTGAGGAGAAAATGTCAATTTTACATCTTTAACCTTGGCTCAAATATAAAAAGTTGTTCCCAAATCTTTGACTATTGAATGCGTTGTTATCAGTTTTTTATCAAACGAATAGAAAAAGAAAGTAGGAACCGATTGAGCTGTCTTACTCACCAGCTCGGCACGATTACAATATCGCTTAATGATTACTATCAATAATTATTAATTAAAAAAAAGTAAAAAGTTGAAATTGGTCCCAATGACGCAAGAAAGTACCACGAATCGAATAACAGCAAAAGTTTAATATGACGATATGGGGGTTATAGGGGAAACTAAAAAACCTTATTTATTGGTCCGTTAATTTTACACTGCAAGCATTTTGGAACTTCGTTATGCATTTTTTTATTTTTGAAGTGGTAGGCAAAATTAAAGAACTCATAATCCTAGAACTCCCCTCCTATTATCCCCTAAAATTAGTAATTTTCCAAATACTTGAATAACGACCAACGATGCTTCATTGAAACTGTATGCACTCTGCGCAATTTGGTTAAAAAAAATTGGAAAAAATCAATCACCTCCGCAAAGAGGAATAAATTTCAACTTGAATTTTTCCAGTGACTCGAACACAACTGTCCAATTTATGGCAAAGACAGTGGAAAACATCATAACTCATGGGATAATTTTCCAATTATTTCGTTAACGAGTGCCCTACTAAAAACCATCAACATTTGAAAAAAGCTCCATAACACTTTCTTCTGATCCCCCCCCCCTTCTACGATTCCCATCATCAATAATTTCCCTCTGTTCATCATCACTAAAGGAACAGAATCCTTTATATAACCCGAGAAAGCTTAACAATCGTGGATTTTCTGATTCTCACATTAAATAATCGTCCAATCATGCCAGATAAAGACACCAGAAATTCTTGTCAAATAAGAAGAGGGCAATGCCTCAAAGTCAAGTCATAAAATACAAAGTGGAAATGAAATTAAAAAGAAAGAAGAAATTCACAGACATTCATTGAAATTTGTGCGTGTCTCTGTTGGCGTGTACAATTGCGAATGAAATCCCGTAGATGCCCTCATACTCATGACTGAATTGCACAGTTCGAAAAGCATCAGCGGAGACCTGTTGAGATACTGGCTGTTCAGTTACGTAAGGGAATACGGCTTTCTTTTCGCTGACGCTCAGCAGTTTCCATTGGGCAATAACTTCTTTCAGTGGATTATAAACCACACCGTTACGGTACGGTTTATTTTGTATATGGCGATGACGGGCGAGCAAGAGGAAGGGGCAAGGTATCCTACACACGGTCGTGCACCGATTATGCGTCTAAATTCCTGGACAATGGGTGGGGGGGAGGAAAGTAGTAATGAACAGCAAGTGGTAATCAATTGAGAGAAATGGGAGTGAAGAGGTCATTCTGCTTCGATGGACATTGCAGAGAAATTCAATCGAAATTTCAATGAATTCGAAGGAAATTTAATTTTCCGTAGTAATGAGAGGCAGTCCATTTATTGTTAAATTATCTTCGTTATTAGGAGTATTAACAAAGAGGTTTTTCTTAGGTATTCTGTATAATTTTGGGAACTACGCAAAACATTTAGCGAGAGATAAATCAGTTTTATTTCACATTCAGTTTTTAGAGGATATCTTGGAATTGCAGGAAGATATTTTTGTGAAAAAAACTGCCCCAAAAAAAAGTTTTCTTTGTTTTCTACTGGAAAGCAGAAATTTTTTAAAAATACAAAAAAATTAAAAAGTAAGCTAAGTCAGGAATGTCGAATGAATGATCATTGTGCACAATTAAATTTCTATGAGTTAGACAGTTTTAAATCGAATAAAGATTTGTAAAAAATTCTCTATGCAATATAAAATCAGTAGAAGGAGGACTAACGTCCTTGACGCCGATCAGAAGTTGGAAGATTAGATTGATACTAGACAGTGAGTTGAAAAACTCTGCGCCAAGAACGTTGGTCCTCCTTCTACCAATTTGTTATTTTATAAACAATTTTTTTTAAATCCTTATTAGATTTGATAGTATATTTCTAACCTAGGGAGGGAAAATAAAGGATCCTCAGCCGCCAGTGCAATTACCAGCCGAGCAGAAGGCGAGGTTGGTAAGCACGCGGCTGAGGGTCCTTTATTTTACTTCCCGTGGTTAGAACGCGAATTTCCGTCTCGGCGTAGGCGCAAAGTCAGAGTTCCCTCCCGCAAAGCAGAAGGGAAATGTAATTTTGCGCCCGCCGGGACGGAAAACTATTTTTCTCATTGAAATCTGATTGCGCACAATGACCATTCATTCAACATTCCCGACTTGGCTTTCTTTTTCATTTTTTTTGTATTTTTCAAAAAGTTCTGTTTCTCAGTAAGAACGAAGCAAAACTTTTTCTGGGCGCAGTTTGTATCCAAAAACATTTGTTTTTGTTTTTTTAGGCACATTTCATTTTTTTTTTAATAAGCAAGGAATCGTTTTTATATCTAATAAAGCTTTTTATATTCTATTCGATTCAACCCATTTAGTTTTCACATGATAGAACATCGTTGCAATTAACAATCGAAGTAAAACAAACAGTTCTACCCCATAGATTCATCCTTTCCACCGACTTTCGATTATTTATTCAAAATTTTCCAACTTAATATGCTTCTTCCATTCAAATTTTTCTTTGATTGTCTATGGGGATTGTATTCTTTTGAGATGAATTGACTTCCTTTCCGAAACAGCGGAACAAAATGTTTACATGATAGAAGTTTTTATAAAAATATTAGTTTCTGTTTTTCTTGGGAAGATACTACTAATTTTTTCGAAATAATTATAAAATTATTCTCGTGATCTTGGCATCTCACCGTAACCTAATTTCGAGTATTTTTTCCCATGAAATTGAAAACGTTCTCCGATATCGTTCGAAAAAATACATATTTTCTTTTCAATTTCAACTATCTACGGACACTGAAATTCTTGATCACACAATTTTCAACGAATAGTAATTCTCAGATGCCAAATACGAACTATAACCTCACAAACTATCTTTATCTCCCAGGTCCAGATAATGAGCGCGTTTCGGAATCAACTACCGTAGCTGCAGTCAAGCAAAATTGGATAGGGTTGCAGTACTGTTACTACGACTAACTCGATTGCGAAACGCACCCATAGATATGACGAGAAGAATTCGAATTTTCGGCGAAAGGAAAAAAAATAAAACACAGAGTTAATTATTTGTTCTACTGTAATAAGCAATTTCAAGTGAAAAAAAAAGTTTCCCGTAGTTCTCTGTAATAACGTCGCAACCCATATTTAAATGGATTGGTGGCAACACCTCAACGTCGAATGTGAGGCTCAGTCGGATCAGCTCTACCAACATTGTAGTCAAAATCTCACACTTTATAATGTGAATCACGATAAAGTGAATTTCTTAACATTGAGTTGAACAAAAAAGTGGAACTACACAATGAATAGCTTGTTATTGAATAGGCACGATCCGAAGATAGTGTAGGTAGGTAGTTGGTGTATAGATACCCGGCAGCGCTCGGCCTGAGATGTTGGACGCCCGGAGTCAAAAATTTTCCTTGGCCGATACGTTGCCGCGTATCTCGATATCAACGCGTTGCTAGGCGCGTATCTTCTTCACTGTCAATCCAAATAATACTACAGTTGCATCACTGAAAAGCCCATGGACGATGTATATAGTGTAACTAGGGACAGTTTTTCGATTTGTCGTTTCGTTCTCACAATATTAAATAGAGATTCTTCAGAGGCAGTGGAGGGGACAGTTCCGTCGTATATACATACGCTCGACCTGATGTTTTGTACAGTTGGAGTCAAAATTTTCTTGGTCGATACGTTCCCACGTATCTCTATGGGAATTTCGCTAGTCATCCATATGAAGAAAATGACCTCGGGACCAACTAGACTTACTTAGTTTTATTCATCACGATTCGGGAGTGATTGATGTATATCTATATCGTGTTAATCAAGACACCCTTTCTGTAGCTGGATAAATTTTCGGCAGAAGAGTCTTCTCAAATTGTCTTTTAGAGTTCACTTATCCATTGAACATATGGAAATATTCTCATTATTCATCCATTAATCACTGAATTGGTAAATAAATTTCATTTCTTCATCTTTTAGTTATCCAATCGATTAATATTTATTTCTTCTTTATGTTTACAGTGACAATATAGGAGTCGGTTCAGCCAACTCCAACTCAATTACCACAATGCAAAATCCCGAAACCATAATGGAGAACAACATAATAAGTCAGAACACAGTTTTAGCCACCCCAGGTCTAAACAATTCCGCCTGGAATCGTCAGCAGGCTGTCAGTGTGCGTCATGCATTTAAAACATATGGTAGTAGCAAAAATCCAAATCACGTACTACAGAATCTCAGCATGACAGTCGCCAAAGGATCAATGTGAGACATGCAACTTTTTTTTTATGGTGATCTCTTACTAGGAAATAGTGTGTGCAGAGTCACCGCGAAAGTGTGTCATGCAGAATGAGACATATATCCGCAGTTTCCCCTTTTTTACTTCCTTTCATTTATATTAATGTCGGGTGACAATTGTCAAAGGAGCATTCACTCCAAGTCCAAACTGAATAAACAATTTTTGGTTCATAAAAATCCATATCATTTTTATGAAAAATGAAAATATTGTTGTTGCTGAATATGCGAATCTTCTGGAATGAGTATATTCAAACATAAAAATCTTCTGAATTTTTCTGATAAAATCGATGAGTAATTAATAATTTACTTTTTAAATAGAATTGCTTTGGTGAAGGAAAACTACCAACAATTAAATCTTGCATACTACTTCATTACATAAACCATAATAATCACAGTGTGCAAAATTGCACGCATGGGCGTGTAGCCTCGAATCTGTGACGTATCGATGATGAAAACATTTTGCCATTTAGATACGGTCTCCTCGGTGCTAGCGGCTGCGGAAAAACCACCCTGTTGTCATGTTTAGTGGGACGCAGGCGGCTCAATTCTGGTGAGATTTGGGTGCTAGGGGGTAAACCCGGTACCAAGGGCTCTGGAGTACCTGGAAAAAGGGTAGGGTACATGCCACAGGAAATCGCACTATACGGTGAATTTACTATTCGGGAGACCATGATGTATTTTGGATGGATTTTCGGAATGGAGACACCCGAGATCGTAGAAAGGCTGAGGTTTTTACTACAGTTTTTGGATCTGCCTTCACAGAACAGAATGGTCAAGAATCTCAGGTAATTAAAAAAAATTTCAGTTGCTAAAGAGGGACAATGTTGATTATTCACGCACTTCAAAATTTATGTAAATTATGGAGAAACATAAATTATTCTGCAAAGGACAATTTATTCTTTATTCTGGATTTTTTCAAAGATGTTTTTTTTAATTGTTTTAGAGTGCTGAAACCCATACATTAGGTTATTTACACTTTCATATATTAATCAATATTAATTCAATTACGTCTTCTTATTACACATTACTTAGATTAAACCTGGATTTTACAGTCTTTTGGGTATTTGCATATTTCTTCTATGTATTTAAAATCTGTCGCATTTACAAATTTTCTTGTGTTGAAGGGCCTAGTACACGTTATTTTATTCAGTCTCTCTAAAAGTTTGTGTCTTTGTTGCTTGTACCTGGAGCAGTGTCACAATATGTAATCGAAAGTTTGGTTTTCTGCTTCACACGGGCATTTGGGATCATTGGTGATCCTCACTCTAGCCAAGGAGGCTGCAAGGTGGTAATGGTTTGCTCTAACGCGGTTGACGGTTACTATGCTCTCTCTAGAGAGCTTGCGCTTTCCATACCAGGATCTTGCAATAGGGTTCAAAGTATTCTACTCCTTTTTTGGTTCCCCGTTCTACAATTCTATTAGTTTTTTTTTGCGTTCTTCACTTTTAAATTGTGCTCGAAAATCAGTGTAAGGGACCCCAATTTCAACGCTCTGATTCTCTATCGCCTCTCGCGCCAACTTATCGACTTCCTCGTTACCCTCAATGCCACAATGCGAGGGAATCCAGATGATTGAGATTTCTGTTGGGGGGTTGGTTTTTTTGGTTATTTTAACAAATTCTTCTCTGATTTCTGTGATATATGGATTTGTTTTAACAGTTAATTTCCCACCATTGAGAGCTTGACAGGCACTCAATGAATCTGTTAGTATGACGTATTTATGGCCTGGATTTCGTTTTATGAATTTCATCGCTAGCGTGAGCGCGATGCATTCTGCAGTGTAGCTTGAGGTGTAACTGTTGAGGGTCGTGGAGAAACGAGTATCCATCTCAGGACAGACACATGCCGCTCCGACATAGGTGTTGTCACTGTTTTTGCTTCCGTCAGTGAAAATTCGGTAGTGGTCGCGATGCGGTTTTTCGAGCTCCCCGTTTAGAAAACTGTTGGCTTCGCTTACCTCCTGCGCCGATCGACCTAAGTACTCGTTTAGGTCGATGGGCAAGATGTAAGCATCAAGTGAATGTGTGAGGTTATGGTAGTTTGAATCGGTGTACAGTAATTCTTTAAGCGATAGAGTCTCGCAGATACATTTAGTCAATAATTTGTCTCTAGCACGATGAGAGTAGGAGCTGGTTTCGAACAATTTGTAAATATTTTGTGATGTCTGTGCCACTTGATTCGAGAGAGTTTTCATTAAGTAACTTTTACATAGGCATTCGGCTCTATCTTGGATGTATGTGAGTTTTGATTCACCGATAAGGACATTAGTGGGGGTTGAATACCTGTACCCAAGTGCTAAACGTATAGCGGCATATTGAATTTTTTCAAGTTTTTCTCTCATAACTTTCGTGAATGAGGTGTTTAATGAAGCGAAGGGCATTGTTTGGGCCCTGTATGTCTACTAAATTATCGATCATTATATCGGGAATGACATTGTCGAATGCTCCTTGGACATCTAGGAAAGCTGCGATCGTTTTTTTGCTTTCTTTGAAATTAAATTCTGCATTAAGATATAAATTGCTCAAATTGTCAATGCAAGAGAGGCCCGGATGAAAACCTGACTGATAGCTAGGAATAATATTTTTCCATTCACACCACCATTGGAGTCGATTTTTAATTATGGTTTCGAAAGTTTTTGCTACACATGAGGTCAAGGCTATCGGTCTGACGTCTTGATTATTTGGTTTCGGTATGAAATATACGAAGGAGTGTTTCCACTCATTTGGGAAATCTCCTGTTGCGTATATGTCATTAAATATGTCTAGGAGAACGAGTCGCAGTTTAATTAGTATTCTTTTCAGTAATTGATAGGTTATTCCATCTGGACCTGGGGAGGAGTCTTCAAAAAAAAAAAAAAAAAAAAAAAAAAAAAAAATTCTAAGAGAATTAGAATTTAGAGAGAAAAAATTTCCGCTTCACCCAGCCGGGAATCGAACCAGTCATCTCTTTTGGTTTTAAGAGCAGAATTGAATTCAGTGAAGTCAAAGGGGCGATCTAGGATGGTAAATGGGGTTTGAGGAAGGGGGGAGTCAGAGTTTGAGGTGGAAGAAGCGGGAGCGATTTTATTCAGCGAGTTGTTGATGGCTTCTTTAATTAGGTCGGGGTCTCAGGGGTTATCCGGTTTAATTTTGATCCATGCATTTTCTAAAACTTTACTCGTTCTCCAGACATACTTCCCGCTTTTCCTGAAATCAATGCCTTCCACAAACTTTATGAAACATGATTTTTTTTTCAGTTTGAATGTTTTGGTAGCAGACGCAGCTGCATGTTTATACCTAATAATATTGCGTTCTTCTTTGGTGCGTTGCCACTGCCTGTAAGTGGCCCTCCGTAGTCTCTTGGCCTTCGCAGATTCCTCGTCCCACCACTTAACTGGATTTTTATGGAATTCAGGGGAAACAATTTTCCTTACAGGAGTACATTGTTTAACAGCTTGTTTTATGTGTTCAATGAGTGAAGAGTACTTTTGGGAGGGTTCTAGTTCGAGGAAGGATGAATCCAGGTATTAAGCAAATGATTCTGACAGTATTTTCTCTAGTTTCCCCCAGTCTGTACTCGCCGATGTGATCTTTAAAGAAGTTTTGTGGTAGATGCTTCGTTCTGTTGTGAGGCTTATGAGGAGCGGGTAATGGTCTGATCCCCACGTTTCATCACTGGCATTCACTGCTATTATATCTGCAATGTCCGGGGTGGAAAAAACTAGATCTAAATTTGAATGTTTATTTCGGTAAATGTCTATATGCTGTGAGGTATTTTTCCAAGCGCGTATGTGGGATTCAAACGCGTGGTTCTCCTCGAACTTCCAGCGAGCCCTTTGGACTCTCTCAACCCGGAATTAGAACGACGAGAATAACGAGAGGAGACAAAATGCCAAAAAGGGCGCCAGTCCTTTTAATCGCCAAAGGACAAGGTCACACCGTTGAGCCGCGTTCCATGACTAGCTTAGATAACCGCGGAGGCGTGTGGGAACAGGCTACAATGAGCGTAACTCAACAGTATGCAAACTTTTACAACAAAAAAAATATATTTTTAATTCATGAGTTAAGTCTGATCGTTTACTCGTCCATACGAGAGTCGACGTAGGGTTTTGTACACGTGCGGAAGAGGACTCCCGCGAGCGAAGACGCTATACAAACCAAAAAAAATGTAATTAACTTAGTGATACTAACTAACTAAAAGAAATAATAATAATTTTTGAGATGCGGGAGAGACGCTAAGACCCGAGGATCACCCGTAAGCGACGACGACGCGAGAGCCACGACACGAAAAGTTATTGGGGAAGATCGACATAACAAATGAGTTAGGACTAGTTTCTCCCCACAAAAAAAAATAGTAATAATGATCAAGTAGAAATACTCATAGTAAAATCAACTCATGAGGTAGCTGAAAGCTACAGAGTGCCGCGTCACAAGCCGACTCTAGTACATTCTCAAACGGCCCCAAAATGGGCGCCAGAGTGGATTCACTACTGGAAGTACGCGTACACTCACAACGAAATTAGACGCTCACCGTGATTTCGCGAGAACACCAGGCAGACTCGTCTGGACCCTCACTACGGCGACGTCGGAAAAGAAAGCCGGAACAATCGGGCACAACACCACAGAGTACTTTACTTTTTTGTTCGGTCAAATAAGCTCGGAGAGCGAAAGAAGCTTAAATTGCGCAGAGCGACTATAGTTGAACGAATCGCAGCGAAGAGTGTTCGTCGGGGCCGTACATCGCCCCGAGGAACCCCTCAATTTCTCCTACCTCCACCCGATCACGTGATGAAGAATCCAGGTGATTCGACAATTTGATTCTAGCATTTTAAAATGGTTCTAATCCCAAATTCCTTAGTCCCAGAAAATTGGGACTTGCGCCTCGCGGTCGGTGGATGTGATCCGCGTTGAGCGGCGCAGAAGCCAACATAATCCGATGCCCCCTCAATGTTGTAGCATCGGTTTTTTACTGGACGGCCTTGTGCCGCCGATCCATCGGTGAGGTGGTGGGGGTTCGCACGTAGAGTCCTGAGATGCCTGCTACGTGGTGTGAGTCTCCTAGACTCGGTGTGTGCGTGCTCGTCGGTGTGCTGCTTCTCAGCTATAGCGCCGTCTTGTAGCCCTTCCCGATGCTCCGCTCCACTCCCCTCGCCGCGAAGCTCACGTAACCCACGGTGAGCGCGATCGACAGAGTTCGAGAGAATGATGGAAAGAAGGTAAATAAAATAAATAAAATAAAATAAAATGACAATTGTGGCCCTGGGTGATTCGACTCCTCGCTGGAGTAAGGTACTAATTTTCCCCCCATTATCCGCGGTCAGTTCAGGCGAGGAACAGTACATGATTTTTATCATGTTACAATGCGTATTGGTAGTGGGATTGTCTAGAAACAAATTTTCAGTCTGGATACACTCGAGTAGCTTTTCCCCGTTGGGATCACTTTTTCCACTGTTCCACGACGAATGATGTGCTTTGAAATCCCCTACTAGGATAGATTGTGGGTATTTCCTTGTGATTGACATAATTTTCTGCCAATATTCTAGTTGAAGGGTCGTACCTGGAGTTCTGTAGCATGCGACGATGGTGATTGGCTTGGAGATATTAGTTAACTGTATAGCAGCAATTTACACGTCCGATGACCGGACCGGTACCGATGATTTTGATGCTGATATGATTTTTGCAGATGAAAGCAATGCCTCCAGCGTTCGCTTGTTTGTCTTCTCGGTATGTTTGGCAACCAGGGAATCTTAGTTTGCGGGTGTCTTGAGGGTCAATTTTCGTTTCCACACAGATGATGATATCGGTTTCTCCAGTCGCCAGGAGAACGTCTTTTTAGTGCTTGCGAAGACCCCGGACATTCCAGAACATTGCTTTGATGTCAGCTGTTATTACTGCCATTTTTTATTTAATTTATTTGTTAATCTGGCTACTAGAAGAGTCTGTATCACTTTCAAGGTCGCACTCGAGTCGTTTTGCCAATTTCGTAA